ATTTATTTAGTAACTGTGTTTTGTCGTTTTTTTAAAAAAATATTTCTCTATTTTATAAATCAATAGTGTCTAGTAACCTGCTAAATAACAAGACGATTCAGCCGTCAAATTTGATTTTGTCCAATGCCGGAGTCCAGCAACAGTGTACAAACGTGCTCCGGTGACGGTGACAGTCCACGGTGACTAGCTACACCAGACCGGACATATTTCGCATCTGACTCAACCCCATGCAACAAACTTGATACTATGTGTTCATTATGGTCCATTCTTCCTCGACGAACAAGTACATAAGTGGCAATTTAGTCAAAGACGAGAAAACAGCACAAGAAATTTGCCTTATTTAAACGTATCGGCAATGCAAGCTGCCCAGCGACTTCCCTTTCTGACGTCACAAGGGGAATTTCTGTATGCAAATGAGAAGCTAATGAGGAGCCTCGTTTTAAAATAAACAAAAATAAAGTTTCCGTAGACTAAGTTAAAACATATTTTTTCACTTAAACAAAAATACTTGTGCTTAGAAACATAAAAAATAATAATATTTATGTATAAATGGATAATTTCTGGCGTGAAAATAGCAGCCATTTCACAGGCACTTTAAAAATTCACCCCCAGCAAAATTTACTGATCACCCTTATCACAAGTTACAACGCAATTTCACAACGCGTGATACTGTCCTTTCAAGTTGTGAAAAACGCGTTGTAATACCCCTCCATCTTTAAGATACAGGCCGGGCGATACAGAGCAACATAATAAATGGCGCCTGTAATTTTACAGTATTGACAGTTGTTTTGACGCCTTTTGTAGTAGGTTCTGACTTTATTTATGTATTGCGATGCCTTATTTAATTTACTAGTTACTTCTTAATAATTATCTAGTATAGTGTTTATTCTGTTAAGATTGATTTATTACTTAAAATTATTTTGTATTAGATTATTGTCTCATAATTATTTAACATTTACTTGCTCATATTATCAAGAGGTTTTTATTAATTTATTATTTAAATCTTATTGTATCGTTTGGGGACAGCGCCCCCAATTGCCATTTCGAAGTATCTTTTTTTGATTTTGTGGCTAATTTTGGCTCGTTTTTGTCAATGGCCCGTTTGGCTAGTTTTAAGTTATTTGGCTCATATTTTGGGGTAGTTTGGCTAGTTTCATGTTTTTTTGTCAATGGCCGTTACGTCACTTCAACCAATTTCGGCTGGGAAATTGTAACTTATTCTTAACTTGCGCTTTTCAGTCGCAGGTACGCAAGGGCTGTGGTCGGGGCATCTATCAAGCAAACGCGTTCTCGTACATACACACACACATTGATCAACACAATAAAACACACATGATGTTATGACACTTATTAATGACGGTAGTTCTCTTTTTGGAGGATGTGGTGGCCCTGAAAAGGGCCATTTGGTTTGTGTGTGCTTGGCTGTCTATTTAAGCACGCTCGCCACGGATACGGCGGGCAAGTTGGATGTCCTTCGGCATGATTGTGACACGCTTGGCGTGGATGGCGCACAAGTTCGTGTCCTCGAAAAGCCCGACAAGGTAGGCTTCGCTGGCTTCTTGTAGAGCCATGACAGCAGAGCTCTGGAATCGAAGGTCGGTCTTGAAGTCTTGGGCGATTTCACGCACTAAACGCTGGAATGGAAGTTTACGGATTAGAAGTTCGGTGCTCTTTTGGTAACGACGGATTTCACGGAGAGCTACGGTACCTGGCCTGTAACGATGAGGTTTCTTCACTCCTCCGGTGGCTGGTGCGCTCTTACGTGCGGCTTTAGTTGCCAACTGTTTGCGTGGAGCCTTGCCACCAGTAGATTTACGTGCAGTTTGCTTTGTACGTGCCATGTTGAGACCTTCTTCTCGATCAAGAATGAAGTGATATGGATTCGACAAATGGCGCCACAATATTTATACCACAGAAGAACCATTGTGATTGGTCAGGACCGGATTATTGACGTTCTAAGATTGGTCCATTAGCGTTGTTTCTGATTGGTCAAAATTAACGAATTGTTATTGGTTAAAATTGTGGCAGCTGAATCCGAAAATGTACTCAAGCTCGACAATTTCTTGAAATACAGATTCGGATGAATCTCCGGCGTGAAACTCTTTTTGTTATTGTATTTACAGTGTTTTCTTGGAAGCAAGTAGAACACGGTATTGGAGGGGTATATGCATGGCGGAGGCAGGAAGGTTATAGTCCCATGACTATAGACTATCTAGACTCGCCAAAGCAGGGCACCAAAGTTTTTCATCACTCATCGGATCAATTGGCTCTTTTTTAGATGGAAATGGTTTCATTTATAACGATACGAACGAAGGAACACAATTTTAACATTTGTACCTCCATAGTAACGCATTATTATTTATAAGTTTGACGAGGGGGTATAAAGGACAGTATATATCCAAAGTGAGAAAACGGGGAATCTGGTTGATTTATAAAAGTGTATTGACCGATTGTGAATGATTCTATTGGACGAGACGCCCGAAAACCTATCCAATCAGTAGCGAGGCCGAAAAAAGGCGGTAAAATTTCAAGGCCATATATCGTGACTTCTTTCACGTTCGCAATTGGTGTATAAAGTACGGGACGCATTGCACATAATCATCAGTTGACTATATTCCTGTACTCATCAAACATGTCTGGCCGTGGTAAAGGAGGAAAAGGTCTAGGAAAAGGAGGCGCCAAGCGTCATCGTAAAGTTCTTCGTGATAATATCCAAGGTATCACCAAGCCAGCTATCCGTCGTCTTGCACGTCGTGGTGGTGTAAAGCGTATCTCTGGTCTCATCTACGAAGAAACCCGTGGTGTATTGAAGGTTTTTTTGGAGAATGTCATCCGTGATGCCGTCACCTACACCGAGCACGCCAAGAGAAAGACCGTCACCGCTATGGATGTTGTCTATGCATTGAAACGCCAAGGCCGTACTCTGTACGGATTTGGTGGTTAGACTTGCTAAACACAAACCAAACCAAACGGCCCTTTTCAGGGCCACCACATCCTCCAAAAAGAGAACTGCCGTTACTGTAGTGTGTCGTTGATTCTATGCTTGTGTACAGTCTTTTGTTTATTAAAAGTGTCCCGGGGTAATCCAACTTTACCCATTTATACACTTCCTATAGCATTTCAATGAAAAAAGCCACATACAGAGTGAATGTATGAAAGTATGTCTACGTGTATTCTTGGAGGTTTTACCTCCATGGTGTATTTCATAAGCTTACTCATAGCATGGCTAGTTTTCTCTGTGTGTGTGTTTACAAAAGTTGATGTTTCCCTTGGCTTGCTTTACCAAATTCACATACATAATGATAAAAACGAGAAAGCGAGTTTGTTATGTCCCGAATAAAAAACGTACATTTACACAGTAAAACAAATCTGTCTTTTCGTGCTACAGCTTTGAACATTTCGCGTAAAGTCAAATTTTGTTATTAATTATGAACAACAGCGGTACAATATAAGTATATAGTTCTCATTATAGCTCTAGAACACAAATATAAACATTTTAATTCGGGTTTAATGATTAATTCGAAGTTAGAATATCACTTTTTAGCAAGTCGTTGGCCACATCTGATTCATTTCGAATTTACCTGGAAACGTGTGCTGATGGCATGACACATTGGCGGTTGTGGAATTGCATATGTGTGGGATATTTGAAATATTTATTAAATTATCTTTATAAAAAAGTTGGGATGTATTAAATAAACGTTTTAAAAAACAGATCAGTAATATGGTGACAGAAGTGGCAAAATGTCATGAACAAATGAGGATTTATCCTGGGGTGTGGGGTGACTTACCCTACCCCTCAGCCTGCTCAAAAAAATAGTGGGGACAGACATGATTTAACACGGAGTTTACAGAGACACGTATAGCAAACATTGTACGGTAGTTCTCTTTTTGGAGGATGTGGTGGCCCTGAAAAGGGCCGTTTGGTTAATGTACGCTAAAGCATACGATTTACTTGGATTTGGCTTGGGTTTTCTTTGGCAGAAGTACGGCCTGGATGTTAGGCAGTACGCCACCTTGTGCGATGGTTACACCGGACATCAATTTGTTTAATTCTTCGTCGTTGCGAACAGCCAACTGCAAGTGACGGGGGATGATTCTCGACTTCTTGTTGTCACGGGCGGCATTACCGGCCAACTCGAGGATTTCAGCGGCTAAATATTCGAGTACAGCTGCCAAATAGACTGGAGCCCCGGCACCGACGCGCTCGGCATAGTTACCCTTTCTCAGGAAACGGTGTACACGACCAACTGGGAACTGTAGACCAGCGCGGTTGGAACGAGTCTTGGACTTTCCCTTTGCTTTGCCTCCTTTACCACGACCAGACATATTGGTATAATAGTGTCAGCTTAGCTTGATAAAAAAGCTATGAGTATTCGGTTGCATAGTCCCCAGTATTTATACTTCCCGCTCGGATTCTGACCATGTACTACTTCAACCAATCAGAATACAGTATTGGGTGACCTTGTTAAAGTAAAGGGCGGGGTAAATAATACATGACCTATGTATATGTATACACATGTACTAGTATTTAAAGTCGTGTTTTCTCTTGCGTTCGCTGCGTTTCCCGCCTTGCTTGTCGAATCCTTCATTTGCATGTCGTTCACTATTTATAGTGGAACCTTTGTACGTTGCTATCATTAAGAACATTATTTCTAACGTTCAATATGCCTCCCAAAGCTAGTGGTAAAGCAGTGAAGAAAGGCGGTAAGGCCAAGGCCGCCCCTCGTAGCGGTGACAAGAAGAAGAGAAAGAGGGGAAGGAAAGAATCCTACGGTATCTACATCTACAAGGTGTTGAAGCAAGTTCACCCTGACACCGGTGTATCATCCAAAGCCATGTCAATCATGAACAGCTTCGTCAACGATATCTTCGAGCGTATCGCATCAGAAGCTTCTCGTTTGGCTCACTACAACAAGCGTAGAACCATCACCAGCAGAGAGATCCAGACAGCCGTCCGTCTCTTGTTGCCCGGTGAGCTTGCCAAGCACGCTGTCAGTGAAGGCACAAAAGCCGTCACCAAGTACACCAGCTCCAAGTAAAATGTATGCCTAGCGTACGCAAACCAAACGGCCCTTTTCAGGGCCACCACATCCTCCAAATAGAGAACTACCGTAACACTTAACACCTTTCATGTAAGCCATTGTATTTCACCTATGTTCATAGTATCAACAACAGCAGTTGTAGCTAATAAAACTAATTAGTTAACTTAAAGTGTATAATGTCCCAACTGTGAATTCGTACTCCTCTACCACACTGAAAAAAATACTAGTATACAGTACTTCTGCATGGTTGTAAATTTCGATCATATACTAGTATGCACAAATTTTGGCAGTTTGTTGGAATGCGAGTTTTCTATGGACCCACATATATCCAGACTGTGCTTACGGGTCACCCATTTGAAATAATAGGGTGTGGCTGAACGAGTAAGACCAGTACATTTTTACCCGCGGTCTGTTATCTATACGTTTTTTGAATGTGACAATATTTGTTCCCTGTGACAAATTCCGTGACTTTTTCTCTCTGTGTCTAGCTTGCATTTTTACAGCAAATATTCTGACCACCCCGCGCGAAGTTGTCGACCCCTTAGCGGGAAAAAGACAATATTCTGCAAAGGTCACAAAGGCTGCTTATTGCATGTCATTGTTCAGTTAGACACTTATAAAAGGCGTAGAACAATGGGACCATCAATATCGCCATCTGAATTCTTCTTGGAGCATACTAATTTAAAGCGGAAGGGTTGTCACTTGCGCACGCTATATATATGTTTATTCAGTACCATTGGCCATAGGCCATAATGTACACACTTAAATGTAACACAAATAAATAAATGAATCGTTTGACAAGAATAATCACTGCTACTGCTTGTCTGAATATTACAAACTTATACTTCACCTATGAATACCAAATTAAATTTATATTTCAGTTAAATTTCCTTCCAACAAACTATGACGTTTTTGTAAAGTGTAGAATACGTATTTTGCAAGATTTTGTATTGTGTGTGTATTTTCAGATTGCAGTAGCAAAATAAATTTCCATTCAAGCGCTGGGCAATAGTAAAACTTGTGTATAAAACGAGTGCGCACGCACGGGAATTGAATCCCCTGCGACGATAACACACACGCTGAAACACATATGCTCATGGGTAGTCGTTTGTTTGTAAACAACGACACGTTATGGCCATCTGACGCATGCGCAGGTGATGACCCCCGCTTTAAAGCTAGAAGACATTAGAAAAAAGGGAATAAATTAACCTAGAAGCCTACTCATTATGTTTGAGAAAGATCATAAATCGTATGAAAATGTTCATTGGTTTATTATGTAAAATCATGGAGCTATGTGATAAAGAGGAAACAGAAGATGTATTCCATTTCATCCTATCTTGTTCGTTTATATTATAAACAACAAAGAAAACGGCTATATGAAGCTGCTTCAAAATCCATCCCTGGCATTACGAATCAAGACAAAAAAAAACTAATTTATTTTGATAATGAACGAAAATGACATAATTACTAAAAAAGCCATATTTATTAAATGCAAATTTCACACAAGGCAGCAAAATCATTATATTATATTTTAAATTATGTGTTCATTTCTGTTTTGTTCCCGTCATGTAACTTTACTGTTGATCTCTCTGGGGACAGTGTTGTGTCTAATAAATATATATGATTTATTGTACATACCAAATAACCAGTGCAGACGTGATGTCATTGTTTCATCGAATGGATACTTATAGTTTTGTGCTACAAGAACACTGTGTATTGTCTACGATAAGTCAGTATCAAATAACAATATAAAACACTATTCTCACAGACGGACCGGAACAGGAAATCAGTAGAAGACAAAAGATTTTTTCCTTAGCGTGGGGGAAAGTTGGTTAGGGTGGGGGAAAACAGAGGTGTTAATCCGAAAATTCATTGTCTTCTCCAGTTTGTGATTGGTCCTGGCAACGTTTGGGGGATCGTTATGTAGCTCCGACTGTGAGAATAGCCTGTATAATAGGAACCATACTTACACCTAAAATTTCAAAAACGCTCCAGAGGGAGGTAAACCCTCGAGTACCCGCACAAAAAAAGAAATTATTTGTCGGGTTGCATTTTCCGTACAGTCATTTCCTGAGTCATTTCCTGAGTTAGCGTCGTGATCAACTTTTTATTTACACCCACTGATCGACCCTACAATAAAATAACAACTTTAATGATTCGTAAATTACAATTACGACAGTATAATGTTGAATCAATCTGAAAGATATTAAAACTGGTCTGGGAAATCTATTTTATTTACTTTTTGTCTGCATGCTGATTATATTAATCTCGGAATTAAAATTATTATCAGTTCTTCCAGTGTACTTGTTAGTGCAATTAAACGAGCAGCATAATTTATCAACGATATTACACATAACATATTTTTACTTTGAACGAAAAAACAACCCAACTCACAGGATTGCAATATAGCTCACTGTTTTGCTAACAAAGTAGCAATAATGATATCAGCTTACCAAAAAAAATGTTACGTTTGAACTATCAATATTTGCTATTTTGTTAGCAAAAAGTGAGCTATATTGCAAACCTGTAGGTTGGGTTGTTTTTTCATTCGCAGTAAAGTTACTGTGTGCTGGTAGTTTGTGAGCATACATTTTTTAATTTAGTAATTATTTTCTATATTTTGGCTTTGTAAGGAAATTTTCTAATTTGAAGGTTTTTCTGACTTGATTTCTTCTAAAAGATTGTCAAATCAACGCCGATTTGATCTTGAATGATACCGTAACATGTTTTACTTCTATAACTTATGATAACTGTCCTCGAGAGTAGTTTATGATATATTTTCGTGTTGTCTTTATTATTTTTTAAACAATTCGTCAGATTATTGAAAAAACCTGTTTTGTAAAAACGCCCTCTATACTATGCATCCGGGAACTCTTACACCCGCCATATTGGAGGCTTCTTGTACTGTGTGCGTTGTTTTGTTGGGTTCGACTTTTTAAAATAAACAACTAAATTACAATATTTTGTGTGTAGATGCTTTGATTTGTTTTCTTTCAAACGCTAAGATGTCCAAAAAAGACGCAGACGTGGATCTCGAGGTGAGTACAACCGATTTCTGTTCGTATTTTACATGTTTTGTTTAGCACGTGACGAAAGAGGTCGCGTCTAAAAATAACAACATGGCCGTACATAAGTAAATAAATCAATTTACGCCCTTTCTGCAGCTATCCAGGGACCAATTTACATAGTCATACCGCCAATAGTTGTGTTATTATAATCATTTCTGTTATGTTTTCATCTCACCAACTATGTTTGTTGTGACAATATCGTCGACGTCGAAGATGTGACCCCCGGATGTGACCCAACCTCCCAAATTTGTCACTCGGCTCAGAACTCATTTAACAAAATAAGGGGGAGTACTTACACGTTTATTACATAATAGTCTGTACTATCTTTTATTTATTTCTGTCCATCCAGAATTATATTCCTGAAAAAGTCAAAAAAGCTGAAAAGAGAATAGAATCGCATTCCTACGACACGGAGGCATGGAGTGTTTTAATTCGCGAAGCACAGGTAATGTGGTCACTGGACAGACATGTATGTCTGTCTTCAATATTTTCAATATTTCTGAATGGTGAATATGAATATAAAATTGCTTTCAGTTGTCACTTGCATATCGCTGCTTTAAAAAAGCTATCCAATAAAATCTGTCTAAACCCAACTACAGTCAAACCTGTGTTAACGGCCACCTGGATATAGCGGCCACCTGCCTATAGCGGTCACAACCGAACAGTCCCTACAAATTTTACATGTAAAGTACCCTGTTTACAGCGGCCACCTGCCTAACGCGGCCAACGGCCACGCTTCAGCGGCCGCAGTGAACAGTTGAACTGCATATAACGGACATAGTTCCCGGATGTCTTGCAGACTACTGCCTTCCACCTCAGACAACTAATAAGCTCACAAAGGACAAAGTTAGCACGTTTTCACACCTTTCATTCAACCGATGGCTTCGGCAATTATGTTTTATTCTTGTTTATAATTCAGTTTACCACGGCAAGCACACCGTACCGATGGCTATGGAACGCCAAAAACATAATTACGAATTTGAAACTGTCTTGATAAAAAAACATGCTGTCATTAATGTTTTGTTGAAATATGTATACCATTGGAATAACTTACAATTTTGTTCAATTAATGAATCGAGCAATCACAACGATGACGACCCGCAAAAGTTGTGAGTCGCCAGGACACAGTCACGGTCCCTATGCCAGTGTAGGAAATTCCTGCCCGTCCGCACGCCCGAGACGGGTAACTTTCGTATCGGACTGGTTGAATTTCAAACTTCCCTGTCCGGTGGTCGGGTAACATGTTACCACATTCTCCGCCGAAATT